TTAACTATTTAATCACCTGCACTGGACCTGCAGCCACTAAAAGACCAGCAAGTCCCCCACCTAGAACACGACCATCCGGACCTGCCAAAGAAATACTCATCCCACCAGATCTACTCTTCGTTACACCGTTGCTAGTAGGCATAAATGAACCGGACAAGGAAAGGATCTCAAAATGTCCCTGGACAACAACACAAGGCAGCTAGATCATTACTCGGCCAGAAAAAGGTGAAAACAAAAAAGCTAGAGGAGAATGGACACACCTCGTATGTCAGCGTACCACCGGATGAAGTAGTTTGACAAAGGGTAACGGTCGAAATAGTTTCGTTTGCATAAATGATGCATATAGCATGATCTCTTTGCTAAGAAAAAGACATCACCTTCTTCGTAACATCCTATAACAGTAATAACAGAAGTAATACCATCAACAAAGAGAATATATATTACACATATTGAAGTTTATTCTGTTCAAAATTTCGAAATCAAATATATAAATGAAAAACTCGATATGTTACTAGGCATACCTCGCCAGCATTGACGGTGATTATGTGAGGTGTGAAATTCGCCCCGGCGAAATAGGCGATTTTGTCACCTGTATAAATACTTCAACTCAGTGGAACAAAAATGAATCAGCAACTCTTTTACCAGAGTCTTGACATCCAAGTTAAGTCTCGATCCCCACTCTCCATTCAAATCAACCAAAATTCACACGAATTGGCTCAACACTCGAACAAAGGTTCAACATGTTCTACACGACCTATAAACCATGTTCTCCTTAAATCGAGGCATTCCCGAGACCTTCTTAAGGGTCAAGAGACAAAATCTCAAAATAAAAAACGACACTAAACACACTGAAAGTACAAATATCTTTCCTATAGAGTGTGTTAGACTTAAATCTAAAATATTGTACATGAAGGTGAGACCGGCACCTTGAGCATCATTCTGATATTTTGCTGCCTGTGGAAAAGGCAGAGTATATATATAGTAGTCCGGACAGGAGACAGATACTCCTAGTATTGCGAAATCAACTCGTCTGACTCAATAACCACCATTGATTCCATTTATGGACTAGAATCAGTTAAATCGGTCCCACTCCTATTTCAACTCTTCTTAAACCTAAATCAATGAATTCTACCTTCTAGCTTTTCTCGCTACTAAGTTCAAAGCTCATAAATTTTTCCATTCAATTCATTGCAATCAAAACTCACGGTACCTGCGTTGCTTTCAAGCTCAAACTTATGTGACTTTTTGACTGACTCAACCGGTCGTCCTCTCCCCTGTTTCCACGGTGGAAACTCCCCCGCCAGGGGAACCGAAGACGATATCGGCATCGGAGACAACGTGACCGCCAAAGACCCATCGGCTGCGTACTTTCTTGGTCTGCCCCTTTTTTTCTTCATCTCCGACGCCGGAGGAGGTGCTACCGTTGGCCCCACAGAAGGGACTGTGTTTTCCCTTAGGGGTGCCACGTTGTACGCCCCGGGACCTTCATCTCTTTCCACAGTGACTCCAGGCATAGGTCCCTCTTTGTCGCCCATAAATGTTACAGTCGGAAAGAGATAGAGAGAGAGAGAGAGAGAACAGTAAAACCCAACTTGCTAAATCCCTAAAGCCCCTGCAACCTGCAATTGAAGATTGAAGTTATTTTTCAAATTTGAGTGGTCAGAAGGTTGAATAAAGCTAATTTTCAAGGGGGGAAACATCAAAAAGAGAAAACAGAACTTGAGCTCAATTACAGAGCAAGAAACATAAAATAGAAAAACAACTGTTAAAAATAATAAGCAGAAGAAGATAAGAACTTAGATTAGAAACTCAAAGATCAAAAGAATGCCAGATTTATGAGCGGAAATTGAGCTTACTTTCTCCTACAATCACAATGTTTAGGCTTAAATCTTCAACATTTATGAGAAGAAACAAGCTTGAAAATGCTAAAAAAAATCAACAAAAAAACATCAATAATTACAGAGAATAAAAATGCAAACTTTTTGGCATGAGGTAAGAATTTGTTTAGCGAACAATAATTTAGGGTTTTGCAGAAATAATTTAATATTGTGAACTAATTAATAATTAGTGTTATTTTAATTAAAAAATTCAAATTGGTTAAGAAAATGCTTTACGTCCGTTTTGGAAATTTAATAAAGGTAATTTTTTTTTTTGCATCGATTTAAAACCATTATTTAACAATTTAGTTAAAATAATATTATGAAATATGCAAATTTAAAATGATTACCATTTTCACTATCTTTTATTTATTAATTCAGTAATTTAGTTTAATAAAAAAAATCTTTCTACACCGTAGAATATTATGAATTTCATTGTATTCTTCTTAAAGTGAAAATCTATGTTTAAATAATAAAGATAATATTATTTGAGATTAAATATAATTAACTTAGATAATAAAAACTAAACTGATAATTTATGTATGGTATTAGACTAATAGTGAAATTTTAAAAAGTACAAGGACTTAAAAGGATTAAGGAAACCGAAAAGAGTGAAATTTTTCTCAGGAAAATAGATGTCAATATTACAGTCTGTTATCCCAAATTCTCTTCTCTAAGGGCAACAGGAATACATACATGCAAGGGTATAAACAAAAGGACTAGCTGTCCTTTAACTTTTCTCATACATTTCACTGAACTGAATACGTTACAGTTTTGTGTTACGGAAGCACAATCATACGGGACTTTCCGGATTCAAACACATACCAATTTGCTACGACGAGTTCCGATCGCCCTCGAATTCTCTTCTTATAATTTCAAGCACGAGTTCGTTCCAGGTATCAACAGGACCCGGCATGCACCAGTGCAAGCAATCTTGAGGGAGAGGCCTTCCGTCCGGACCCCGTTTATTCATCTTATTCGGATCCGGGCTCCTATACAGGCCAGGATGCCCATCGTGACGGTACCCGAAGATTCGGGTAACGTCCATGAACCTCAACTTGGACTTGTTTGTCGCCTTCTTAACGGCACGTTTGAAACCCCAAACCTGTTTTTCGTGCATTATATTTGTAAAACCATTCTCCACCAGTTCACCAGGTGCAAGGGGGTTTTCTGTTCCGGTACACGATCCGCCTGTATTCCAAGCCTCGCCCTCGTAATGATCCGGAGAAAAGGTACGCACGATAGTAAGGCCGGTGTAATTAGGTTGTGTAAGAATTGCAGATAGAACCGTCTCAACAGATATTCCAAATGCTTCGACATTGTTGACCTTCATAGGACGCGATTGATCTGGCCACCATAATTGTCCTCCCACAATCTCATTGTTCAAGACATAGACAGATTGTTTGGCAAACCAATGGCCAGAAGAAACGACAACTACATCAATATTTGGGATGAATTCCATGAATTTATTATCACGAGCATCAAGATGAAGCTTTGTAACATCCTCTGGAGCAAAGTCGTTTTTTTCAGTAGTCTCTTGGACAAGCCAAGAGGACCATATCCGGACAATCATTACAGATGTCGACCTGAAATACCATCGTTGCATTCTTCGGATCCCTCGGTTTTTCGGAACTTCAACCTAAAATTATAGCATAATGTTTTTCATGAGAAACCATTCAAAAAAATAGAAATAAAGATGAACACAAATAAAACCTAGTTTCACACACTTTAAGGTACAGAGTTAAAATTACTAAAATACTTGCTGATGGTAATAATATTCAAAACCACAAGAGCTACAAACTCCAGGCTCTGAAAAAAAGGGTTAACAGAATCAATACAATACCCTTGGTTAGAAAAATTACGGTGAAAAGTTTCAGCAATAACAGATTTTAAAGTGGGACAACTTTTGTCTTGAGAAATAACTGGGATTTTAAGAATGTAGATGCTTGCCTGCCAGAGAAGACACACCATTGATTCCATCTGATTTCGGGCAACGGAATCACCGATGAAAGCAAGTGTTTTTCCTTTCATCAACTCTAGAAACTTCCTGGCATCGAATCTGGGGAGGTCACATTTAGAGGGTTTCCAAAGCCAATTCTCATATTCCTTGTCCGGCCTCCCATTACCTTTGGCAATTCTGCATCTGTGTTATGACAGGGCAAGAGTTGTTGGTTTACGATGGTCCCTGTGGATCGAAGAACCACTTCCCGTTATATAGGTCACAACCTACAGAATAATCAATCAAAATGAAAATCAGAATTTCCTTGGGCTATCTTTTAAAATTAAAGATTTGAGGGTTAAGTTTATTTTGATTTATTAAAATTAGGACCAAATTGATATAATATATAAGTAATAGTGACCAAATGTGTAACTATGCCAAACATTTTAATGCCACATCATATTATCCGTTAAATATTAACGAAAAGTGGCTCAATTGAATGTATTTAAAAAATTGAGTGACCTGATTGACAAAATTTCAAAAATATTGGTCAAAATGAAAAGGGGCATAGTTAGGTGGTCACTGATATAGTTTACCCTTTGTTTTAAATAATTTATCTTTAAATTTTTAACTAATTTATAATCATACGTTGAGTCATTTAAATTTAAATTTTTATAAATTAAATTAATGGTGCTTGTCGTTAGTGGTGCTCGTTGCTACTTGTCTAACACTGTTGAATTTTCCTTTCAAATTAATAAAAAATACTAACTCATATAATTTTTTTATTTTAGGTTGGTTGTTGATTTGAATCTAAGAATTTCCTTTTAGTATTCAAATTTATATTCTCTCAGTGAAAAATGTAATGTATTTTATAATAATAAACTTAATATTTTTTATTTTTTAATAGAAATGAAAAGGAAGTTATTTGAGATCAAAATTGATATCTAATATTAAAATCATGGTATTATTAGTAAAATTGATATATTGGATTTGAACTTAAATTACAATATCAAACTCGATTGGACTTCAAACATTAAACAAAAAGAGTAAAGAAAATAAATTCAGAGATTAAAATGTAGATTTGTAAACTTTACAGGGACTACGGAAAAATTAGACCACATATTAGTCTAGCAAAAAATATAAAGTAGGCCTTTCTGGTTCATGGGCAAAGGCTTAGGTTGGACTAGACAGAGAAACCGGTCTTCTTCTCATATTGTCCAGCCATCGATGGCACAACAGCCGCCGTCGATGTTAAACGTCCATGTAAGGCTACTAGGTTTCAGCCTCCGGTCAATAACTCCCTCCCCCGGCTGCTCATCCGTTTTCAAACTCAACGGCAAACCAATCTCACGCGTCGAAGTACTCGGTGTAGTCACTTCCCGGGACTGCAAACCCAACAAATTCCTCCGATTCACGCTCGACGATGCCACCGAAACCATCACCTGCATACTCTGGCTCAACCACCTCAGTTCCCATTTCTTCTTTGACCGCCAACCGGGAACGCTTCGGGTTATTGCCGATTTAGCAAAGCGCTTTGCCGACGATCTCCAGATAGGGGAAGTGGCCAGAGTGCGCGGCAACGTCGGCAGCTACAGGGGAGATTTGCAGGTCACGGTTTCCGATGTTGTCATTGAAAGTGACCCCAATGCCGAGACCTTGCATTGGCTGGATTGCATTAGCTTGGCTCGTCTCTGTTACTTCGCTTAGCTCTGGTAAATTTCAAAAGGCTTTAAAGCCCAATGGGAGTCGGTGGTTAAGAATATTGTAAGAAAACTTTTGGGCCTGTTGGTTTTCGTGTAATAAAATGGGCTATGTCTTTTTGTTGTTAGGTTCTACGATATGTTATGAATTGGTCAAATTTTGGACTTGGTCCCTCTACTTTACTGGAACGTGAATGGACCCGGACTAGAATTGAAAGTTTGCTATGTATGCCCTGCCTAAAGTTCTATATTTATGTACGGATCAAAGTTTAGTTTGATTGGTATTCTTATTATAACATACAAACGATTACAAAAGTAATTAAATTATCAGTTTTGATCTATTTTAGTATTTAAATTTTTAATTTTATTACAAATATGCTTAAATTTTAGTTTTTGTTTTATTTTAGTATTCTCGCCGTTAAAAACTTTAGTTTTTGTTTCATTTTAGTATTTCGTTCAAAATTTGAAGTTAAGTTTTTTTAAAAAAATTTAAAAGTTTAGGTACTAAAACAGACTAATCCTAATAATTTATGTACTAAATGCGTTAAAGTTTTAAAGACAAAGTATTAAAATGAAATAAAAACTAAATCTTATATATGATTTTAAAAATTAAAAGTTTAAGTATTAAAACAAATTAAATCTGATAATTTAGATACTAAATACGTAATTTATCTTAATATTTTTTCATGTAACAATATTTTAAGGTTTTTTTTAATTTAAATATAATTTAAACAAGATATAATTCAATTCCTCTTTAATCTAATTCTATAAATTAAACCGGTGAAACTAGCTGTCCACGTCAACAAACGTAGTCTCTTTGTACACTTAATCATACAACTTCCTCGGAACCGCATGTAGCTTAAAACAGGCGGCACCACAAACGGTCAACCTCATTTGTGTACAAAATTCATAAAAGGTAAAATTAAGAATAGATTGTCATATTATATAAATTTTAAGAAATAAAATTATTATTTATATAATATTATATTGTCCATTTTACTAAAAACTTAATGATTAATTAAAGTAGAATGAACACAGAACACCCAACGATAATGACTAAATATAAAAAAAAATAGTTTAATCAAAACAAAGACACATTAGTGGACTTTGGTGACCAAATATGTGGTTTACGCTAAAAGATAATATTACCTTTCCTTGGTTTCACCTTCGTAAATGTGCAGGGTTTTTAATTTGCTTTTAATTTTCGCCCATTCTTATCGACCTTCCATCCTCTTGAGCAGAAAAAGAGTGTATTTCCTTCAATGAAAATGAGTAAAGCAGCCATTGTTTTCCTGTACTTTGGTTTCATATCCATCCTTTGTGAAGCCAAATGGATCAGAGAGAAGCCTCAAGCTTCAGAGTCCTTCAATGTCAGCTATATACAGGTACCTTCACTTTACCAACAAACCCATTGTCAATGAAATTCTCGTATTCATGTGTTTAATTTGTTCTTATAAATCAAATGATTTCACCCCAATTTCTTATTGGAAAAAAAACGATGATAGAATTTGGGGAGCTGTTCATACTCGGTGGTTTTTACAACGAGCTGTTCATCAACCGCTTACACTCGAGATCAAATCAGTATCGCTTTTGGTGATGCCTATGGTAATCAGGTTCGATTCTTTTCCACTTTCCCCCAATTTGATTTTTCAATATCACGGTCGCATCTATCCAAATAACCTATTGCTTAATTTACTAGCTACTGGTTTTTGCGTTTATGTGAATTAAGACGGCTTTGTTTCTGTGAAATTTACGCTGTTTTCCCTGACGAACTTGCTGTCGGTTTACGATGATAGCTTGTTTTCGGTCAAAATTTGCAAATTTCAATGGAGAAAGAAGGGGGAAATTTGTGTACGGAATATAGTGTTCTTTTTAGAGCAGTATGTGTTTGATGAAATTCCAGTTCGTTTTTACACCTTGAAATCATGGAGGTTTATCCGGTAATCTTAAAAACAAGTGTGTAAAACCATTTTAGCAGATGTGTTCTTGACAGATGAAACTGATACGTAGAAAAATGATATTGATTGCTTCTTTGATAATCAGATATATGCTCCGAGGTTGGATGATCCGTCGTCTATGGCGTTTGAACGATGTTCTTCGGATACATTTGAGATTAAAGGACCGTGTGCATATCAGATCTGCTATGTCTATCTCTATAGAACCGGACCAGACGGTTGGAAGCCGGACACGGTGAAGATTTATGGTTACAACTCGAAGGCTGTTACTTTTTATTACAACATCTTCATTCCAGGTGACATTTGGTACGGATTTAATTATTGCAACAGTGCGTCCTCTTCACCTCGACGGATTGGCCAGATGTCGCACTTACTCGTGATTCTATCGTTTGTTTTCTTTGCACTTGTGTAACCATGGGCTTGCCAAAGTCCCGTTAATGCCGGGAAAGTTTGTGGAATGTGATATGAACTGCGTAGCGTACGCCGGTGTTAACGTTGTTTTTTTCTCGAATATGTTAGCTACTTGCACTGTAATTCATTCCTGTTAAGAATTCTAGACTGTTCTCTTCGTATGCATATCAGTTATAGCTGTTCCTTGGCTCTGAAAGCCAGAATTGTGACCAGGGATGGAACATCGGGAGGGGCCGAGTACCTAAGAAGCAATTTAACCAAAAACTTTTGGGATGGCCATGGCCCCTCTCCTCCCCTATGTAATTCCGTCTGTGTGTGGTATATATTTTGCATGCATATTTTGAATGTTGCAGCTATAATGTTCGGGTTAAATACGATTTTTTTTCAATTTTAAGTCATAAATCTTTTTTGATAATAATTTTATAATTTATATTTAATTAAATAATTAATTTTAACACTAGTCTAATTTTAAAATTCTTTTTATTGGTAAAATATATTCTCAAGTTGCTATACAGGGATACATTTATTTAAAATATAATATATGGGATGATATATGTTTTCATAAAATAAAACATAGAAGGACTAAAATGTAAGTTTCATTTTGGTGATCATTGATGCAGTTTATTGAAAGTTTGAAATGAATGATTTTGTGATAATTACTAGTGACGAGAATATCACGTTTTTAGAGATATGAGGACGTTAATCTCACATCAAAAAAGAAAGTGAAGGTCTTAGACTTTAATATAATGAAATGCATATCATATCATATATATCTTTTGGAAAGAAGATAATAATCTTGTGTCCAATCTAAATAGTCTGAGTTTAACGATGAATATCTGTAAAAATCAATGATTCAAATTGAATCCATCTCGAAAAAATATAAAAAAGTATAAAGTATTATTGAGTAAAATACACATAAAAATTATTCAATTAATAATAAGAGTATAAAGAAATTATTTGATTTTAAAAAACTAAAAACAAGTCAATTAATTAATTGAATTATTTGTTTGTAATTTTTTAAATGTAGTGACCTTTTCATAAGTTCACATAGTTGAGATATGGATAGTGTATTTTACCCAATATTATTATTATTATTATTATTTTATTTTGTTCTTCCTCTTTCTCTCCCGCGTTTAACTGCCACATACATTTGCACCGAGAGAAACAAACTCACTCGCTGAGACATTCTCGCACTTTTTGTTTTCTTCACAGATCTGAAAGACTCTTTGATTTAATTATTATCATGATTATTCAAAGCTTTTGAATTTTTAGTTCGTAACAAAAAACATGCCTTCTCTAGCTTTATGTGATCTAAAACACAAGAAAGAAAAGAAAAAAATCGCTCTAAAAAATCCAGAAATCGAGAAAAAAGCGAAGAAACTGAAGGAACCTAAGATCAAGGAAGAGGAAAATGGTTTGGAGGTGAAGGATAGTAAGAAGAAGCGAAAGGCGGCGGAGCTCCACTTGGAAGAGGATAGCGAGACGAACTTGGAGGTCTTTAAGCCGGTAGATGTGAAGGTGAAGGTGAAACTGAAATTGAAGGAGAAAAAGAAGAAGAAAAACAAAGCCAAGGTGGAGGAAGAGGAGGAGGATGACGATGAAGAAGAAGAAGAAGATGAAGGTGAAACTGAGGATCCGAATGCGATTTCGAGATTTCGGGTCTCGGAAGCGGTTAGAAAGAAACTCGAGTCGAAGGGGATCGAGTCGTTGTTTCCTATTCAGGCCATGACTTTCAATGTTATTCTTAATGGAACTGATTTGGTTGGCCGCGCTCGTACTGGTCAGGTGTGATATTCGTTTTATTGATAAATGTTTGCACTTAATTTTTGACTGCTAATTTCTGATCTATTTTTACCGTTGTATACGTATTTATCTTTTGATAAGAACGATGATTTCCTTTTTTTTTTTTGTAAACGCAAGGTTTCCATGTGATGAATCTGTTTCTGTAGAATTAACTACCTACTACATAATCTCTGGAATTGGATTGATATGATTTATGAAGGAACCTTTTTGTTACAAAAGAATACATGTGAAGTGCATGGTTTTAATCGTTTTCTCTGTTTTCCTTGTTTAGAAGTTTAACTGTGATTGATGCATCATGGCTGAAAGCTGTGTTGGCTTGGTCGAAATTTGTTCAAACCATTGTTGTGCTTGTGAGACTCTTTCTAGAAGTTATCATCTTAAGTAGCTCATTATTAACGTCGTTGGCTATCGTGCAGGGTAAGACACTGGCCTTTGTGTTGCCTATATTGGAGTCTTTAACCAATGGACCTGCAAAAGCATCAAGGAAGACTGGATATGGCAGGGCACCAAGTGTTCTGGTACTTTTACCAACTAGGGAATTGGCTAAACAGGTACAGCACCACAAATCTAATTCTCTGGACATCAGATTCTTTGATAGTGCCTTTTTGGTTGTGAAGTTTATCCTAACTAACCCGTTTGTTTCTAGGTTTTTGAGGACTTTGAAGTTTATGGCGAGGTTTCGGGGTTGACATCAGGCTGCTTATATGGAGGAGCCCCCTACCACACCCAAGAGATGAAACTGAAGAGAGGAGTTGATATAGTTGTTGGGACACCTGGCCGCATAAAGGTAACCTGTTGTCGATATTTATTGAAGAGATTTTGTTAGTTTTAGAGATGTCATTAAACTCAAAATCTATTGTATTTAAATACTTTTACCATTTGATGATGATAAATGTGCTAGTACAAATGTTGCAGGATCACATTGAGAGGGGGAATATTAACCTAGGTTCATTGAAGTTTCGAGTTCTTGATGAAGCGGATGAAATGTTGAGAATGGGATTTGTTGATGATGTTGAGCTTATATTAGGTATTCATTTTTATGACTGCTGTTTTACTTTTCCCCCTTAGGTGATATAATTTTCTCTACTTCCGTATTAGAGATGTAGAACTTATTAGAAGGTTATGCACCGACATAGTTGTACCTTTATTCCAATTATTGACACCATTTATACCTGCGTGCATCACTCTACTATCTGATTTTCTTATGGTAAGTAGTTAATTTTCCAGGCAAGGTAGAGGATGCAAGTAAAGTTCAGACACTTCTTTTTAGTGCCACCTTGCCGGACTGGGTGAAGGGTGTATGTTTCTCAACTGTTTTCATGCATATTAGAAAATGAATTAAAAATGCAACTTGGATTTCTTCCTCTTCATTTACACTTCTAGTCATGAACTTTATTCCTTTTCATTACCAGATTGCAACAAGATTTCTTAAAACAAGTAAGAAAACTGTTGATCTTGTTGGTAATGAGAAGATGAAAGCTAGTACAAGTGTAAGGCATATTGTCTTACCCTGTTCTAAGTCAGCAAGGTCACAGCTGATCCCAGATATTATCCGTTGTTATAGCAGGTTGGTTTATGGTTTTCAAATAATTTAGGGCGATAATTTGGATTACATTTGATGATTTGGCTTAGTTGTTTTCTTCATTTCTCATGCGGATATAATTCAGCGGTGGACGTACAATTATATTCACTGAGACAAAAGATTCTGCTTCTGAGTTTTCCGGTTTATTGCCTGGATCCCGTGCTTTGCATGGGGACATACAGCAGGCCCAACGTGAGGTAGAGCCTTATCTAGAGTATATAATTTTTCATGCTTTTGCTCGAGCAAAACGGATCCTGTTGTTTTACAATTTCTCATTTTTGGTACAATGCTTGCAGGTCACCCTTAATGGGTTCCGGTCGGGCAAATTCATGACATTAGTGGCTACAAATGTTGCAGCACGAGGGTTAGATATCAATGATGTTCAATTAATTATCCAGGTATATTTGGATACTCAAGTTTTTCAAAAGTTTGCGATATGTTAGTGATTCCTTAATGTTTAATAGTATTGAGTCTATTACAGTGTGAGCCTCCTCGTGATGTTGAAGCATATATTCATCGGTCTGGACGAACAGGGAGAGCAGGTATATACCATAAGTTAGCTTCTTTTTTCTGAAAAAATTGAGATGATACTGAGAAGTTACTAAATTTCAGGCAATACTGGAGTTGCTGTTATGCTTTTTGATCCTAAAAGGTCAAGCATATCAAAAATAGAAAGAGAATCTGGTGTGAAATTTGAGCATGTATCTGCTCCTCGGCCGGTTGATGTTGCTAAATCTGCTGGTGTAGAAGCGGCAAAACTAATAACAGAAGTCTCTGACAGGTACACTTGCTAATGATGTTATTTTATCTCTTCTTTGTAAGTTGTCAACTCCGATCTTAACCTGTTTTAGATTGCAGTGTAATCCCTGCCTTCAAGTCTGTTGCTCGGGACCTATTGGCAACGTCTGGACTATCAGCAGAAGATCTACTTGCCAAAGCACTAGCCAAGGCTGCAGTGAGTTTTCATCCTCATCCATGCTTGATCTTTTGATTCTCTTTCATATTATGAATCATATTTACTGTTTGTTGGATTGTTCAAATGACGATTTACCTCTGGTTTCCATTTTCGGTTGAAAAGACCCAATTGTTGCATGATTTTTCAGGGTTATTCTGAAATAAAGTGTAGATCCCTTCTAACATCTATGGAGAATTATGTTACATTACTTCTTGAAGCTCGAAAACCCATTTACACACTTTCGTAAGTTTATGAAACTTTTTCATTTGTGTACCTTTGTAATTGATATAATGTACGCAAAGAGAGCGATTACATCTCTAGCAACTTAAGGACTTTAAAATTCTTAAAAACAAGGAATTCTATTCTCTTATTTCAAATCTCAAGATACTTCTTTGTTTCAGTGATCTCAATGAACACTAACATTTTTGTTTAATAGCTTGAATTAACAGTTGAAAACAGAGACTTATGAAAAAATTGGGGTTATAAAATTGAGTCTTTTAGAGGGAAGTAATACTCAATTTCTATTATTTTCATTGCTCTGAAAAAAGGCTCTATCTAACTAAGGGAAGGAATGATCTTTTCTCTTACTATCCTTTCATTTCTCTTCTTTCTGCAATCCAAACATAGGATAAGAGTTGAAATTAAAGTAGGTTAGCTCCGCATTGGTTTCAGTCATATCGGTTAGTGCACACCATTCCAATAGTAAACCGAAACATCAACCTCTCAATTCTGCTTCAGTGAAAATTTTGATTAGTATCGGTTGCACTGCACCGACTCATTTTGCTCAATTCATACCGGCTGGAATAAGTGCACTGGCTGCTGCATGGCTAAGGTTGAAATATCAGGTATTAATAAGGTTAGCAAAACCTAACTATATAAATATGAAGTAGTAACTACAATATCATACGAGAATCAAATAGTAACTACTTAGATGATAGAATTCTCCCATTTGAATGTGTTATCCTAACTATATGAAATGATCTAAATCTATAATGTCATTCTAACCATGTTGAAATTATTTGTTTATTTGTATCTTGGATACAATTAATAGTTGAATTGAGGAAATTCCTAATGTGCACTGCACCATTAATCTTTTATTTTTGTTGTTGAAATCTCTTAGTTTGATTCGTTTTTCATGTATCAGGTATGTTTTTGGTGTGTTGAAAGGATTCTTGCCTGAGGAAAAGGTTCAGTCAGTGCAGGGTCTGACCCTTACTGCTGATGGAACGGGTGCAGTCTTTGATGTTGCAGAAGAAGATGTGGAAAAATTTCTTGCTCGTATTTTCCCTCACTTTTCTCTACTTCCTGCTTTGATTTATGATTGTATTGAGACAAATTAGTGTTGAGGGATCTCTCGATTGCACCTCAGAGAAGAGTGCAGGGTCTGAAGATCATGTAAGACGTGGTATGTTCTTCGTAATTTACCTTGCGATGGCAAGGACCGACTTACCAAGTCAAAAAATCTTGGAAGACCAATTGATCCTGCACTATCCCATAAGAGGGAATTGTGGTGCATCACTTAACATTCTCATTATTTTGATTGGAGCATCATTTCACCATATAATGTGTAAATGTTTCTCTTACGTAAAGGGTGCTGGTTGATCACGACACCTTCTATTTATTGCCTTTTGGATTCAGGTGCTGAAAATGCAGCGAATGTTACATTAGAGGTGATGAAGAAAGAATTGCCACGTTTACAAGAGAGAGATCAGTCAAGAGGGAGACTCGGTGGTGGACGGGGTGGTTTTGGTGATCGAAATGGTGGTGGTGGTAGGTTCTCTGGTGGCAGAGGTGTCCGAGGAGGATTTTCTGATAGAAGAAATGATAGATTTCCGGGTGGTGGTGATCGAGGCCGCTATAATAGCAAGAAATGGTGAGGGCATCAAATTGGAAATGGCTGGTTTTGTAGGCAGAATTTTGCCTCTCAATCTCTATTTTATCTTTTGTCCTTCAATTTATATGATTATTCAGTGTTTCTTTTGTGTTGGTGAAGATGTAATTGCATCTAAGCATGTACTCTTTGCCTGCAATCACTGCATTTAACAGGGAGAAACATAGTTAGATAAATTTAAATAAATTAAAATTTTGAATATTTAAATAGAGAAAAAATATTTAATTTGAAATGTAAATAATTTAACAAAAAACTATATCCATTATATTATTTAATGTAGTTTAATATCATATGAATTCTATTTTTAAATATTTTTAGTTTAAATTTAAATAAAATGAAATATATATATATATATATATATATATATATTTGTTTTAATTTTTTTATTAGGTTGGGGTAAATATAAGACAATATTTATTTAAAGATAACTTTCAACTTTTTTTTAGGCATTGAACACTCATAACCATTACTTCTATGGCACTCGAACTTGGATCCTCAAGGAATAATTATAAATCATTTATCATGAAGATCACTTAGTTCGTGTATTTATGTTATTAATTTTAAAGTAGTTTAGTATTGTATGTACTCTATTTTTAAATACTTGTTAATTTAAGTTATGTAAAACAACAAAATTATACACTATTATTTTTTAAAATAGAAAATTATACACCAATATATAATAACTTTTAAAAATTAGTTTGATGTTTAGGCTTGTATATATAAAAATAATACTAATAATTATTTGATTTGATTCAATATTGGTATTTGGTAGCAGTGCAATATCAAAGCCAAACGATATTTCAAATGTCGATTTGTTTTCAACCAGATTCATTATTTATTACTAAAAAATAAGCTGGCGACCCGGTTTCCAATACGGATCGAAATGCAAACCGACAGAAGATATCAAAGGCAATCCCTTTGATTCCTTTATTATGATCCTCACATCACCACCGTGAATCACCTCTCCAAGCCTATGAAGCCTCTTGTATCCAACGGTGGTCCCTTCCACAAGTTCCTTGCCGTCTACGTAAATCCCATGCCGCACGATCCTTTGACCCAATCCAATCGGTTCTTGGATTCTCACCACATTGAATCCCGTCCCTCCATTGGGTACCCTCATTTCAATCCAATGGTTCCCATTACTATCTTCACTTGGTGACCAGTATGTCCAAATATGATCACTGTCCAACACATTCTCCGGTCCAAAACCTCCACCTCTGCCCCCTCTTTGGCTGCTGGCTTTTACGGGACAGTTCTCGGCCAAATTGATGGAGAATATAGTGTCGATCGCGGTCCGGAATTGCTTCAACCTGTGAATGTCGGATTCGGATATGAGACCGGTCGTATTGGGTGGTACATTGAGTAACATGACGCAGTTTCGACCGACCGAGTTGTAGTAAATCTCTAGGAGCTGGCTTAGTTTCTTTGGTGACTCCGATTTGTGCCAAAACCAACCTTGTCGGATTGATACATCACACTCTGCGGGCAGCCAATTGGTTCCTTTGGGGTCGCCCGTGTTAAGATAGCTGCATTATTGAAGTAAGGATGCTGTTTAGTTGGGAATTTGGCCACAATTCTCGCATGGATTTCTTTATTGCTAGAAAATGATACACCTCCTAATCAAACAAGGTAGGTATTTTATTATTGGGAAACGATACATTTCCTGATTTTATTGGATTATTTTTGGGTAAACTACAAATTCAGTATCTAACTTATTAATTTTGATCTTTTTTAGTATCTAAACTTTTAATTTTTTCAAAATCATACCTAACGTTTAGTTTTTGTTTCATTTCAATACCCACTGTTAAAAACATAACACGTTCAGTACCTAGATTATCAGTTTTGGTCCTTTTTAGTACCTATACTTCCAATTTTTCCAAAAATTAGAGTTAAATTTTTAACAGGTGTATTAAAATGAAACAAAAACTGAACTTTATGTATGATTTTGAAAAAAATAAAAAATTTATATACTAAAACATATCAAAAATTGATAGTTTAGGTACTAAAAGCATAATTTACCCTTATTTTTTTAAGATTTGAAGTGGGTTTTAACCAATTTTTTGTAGTGGAGAGTTAGAATTGAAATATAACAAGATCCATTAAGTAAGATTCGGGTTCCAATACTGATGTTAATGAATACTAAGTTAGGAAGATCGTTCTAGTCTCTGTAATATCTTATTCGGATTAGTCGATTATATCAATTTTACGTCGAGACAAATTTAAAGGAGATGAAACAACACCAAAAATCGAGATAACTCAAAAACAATAAAAAAAAAACTTTTATTTTCAGGTCAGGACCGAAACGGAAAAAGAATTAACTTACCCATGCCCATTCCTATGTAGTGTCCACTCTCCATAAATTAAAAGGACTAATTTTTTCAATTTTAGTAAGTTATAGAGATAAAAATCATAATTAGGCCAGTAATTGAGCAAGAAAAGGTTAAAAAGGTTACTAGCAATGGAGAAAAAGGAAAAGGCTTTTCCTTGAATGAGTAGTTATTCATGCTAATTAATGTATTATTATCTTACTTGCAAGTTTACAGTTACTGTTCCGAAGTAGGAAATAGTTTTTGAAGTTTAGAAGTTGCTTACTCAATAATGCTTGCATTTCCAATTGACAACAAGGTACTATTGATGGTCGACCAGCTCGTGTTTCCGGCGAATCCGTGCTCGTTCCCGACCCACCGGACGTCGGGACCGGCATCCGAAAATATATTGATCGAACTCTGCAACTCTCTGGCCATTGCAAACCAATCCGTGAAGTAATAAGACATGTTCTTTGCATTTTTACCCTTAGCTCCATCGAACCATATCTCGTTAACACTCCCATATCTGCCGAATCCAAGGCCGTAGATTTACGTGAAAGATCAATAAAGCTAAAGAAAAGAAGGTTTTTTATTTTTTTATCTTACTTGGTGAGCAATTCTTGTAGCTGAGCTAAGTAGTATTCGTTGTACTCCAAATCATGACCGTATCTTCGATCGTGACGGTCCCACGGTGAGAGGTACAGCCCGGCGTCGAGACCGGAAGCCTCGACGGCCTTGACGAACTCGTGCACTACGTCACCGTGGCCATTTTCCCAGGGACTCGAGATAACCGAGTGATCAGTGTAGTTGGAAGGCCACAAGCAGAAGCCGTCATGGTGTTTGGCAGTGAGGATCATTAGAGAAATCCCTGCCTCGGCGGCTACGGTGACCCATTGGCTGGTATCGAGACCGGAAGGGTTGAAAATCGTGGGGCTTTCCTCGCCGGTGCCCCATTCGGAGTCCGTGAACGTGTTGACACCGAAGTGAAGGAACATGATGAGCTCTCTCTGCTGCCATTTGAGCTGGGAAAATGTTGGAAGTGGTAGCACCGGAAGCGGCGGCGTTGCGACATGTTCTTGCCGTGAAATGGCCACATGTGAGAGCTCAAGTACTGTGATTATGCACAAAGAACACCACAACTTAGCCATTAAAGCTTATTGTCCCTTCTTTTTGTCTTTCCAACAATCATTGCCCGTCCTTTTATATGTTGATAATGGAGAGGTGAGGAAGTTTTATATTCTAAAGATTCACTCATCAAAATTATATGTGTAAATCGATCGTAATTAAAATCTTGAAATCGAGAGAGTGAAAAAAAAATCAAATATTTTAGCTAACTAAATTAGATGTGATAAAAAGATAAATGAGGGTGAGATTGTTGGACAGAGAGAGGAAAGTGATGAAAGAAATGAAGGCATTTCCTTTTGGTTGTTTCTCGAGTGAATTGGGGACAGCATCACGGGTCGCATTGTAGTGCGCATGAAGTTGAACAATACACGTGTAATTCACCATCTTCTTCCATAGAATGACAATGGAATGTGTTTTTATTTGGTATAATTTTTACATTATTAACAATCCAAATATAAAAATAAATTTTGATATTCAATTTATTCGGTTTCTTCAATCGGTCCTTTTTGAGAATTTGGAGCCCAACTGTGTTTCTTAAAGATGGCTTGTGAAGGATTTGGATTGACATGAAATATAGCGCAAGCTAATTTTTTTTTTGTGGATCTCATCTAATTGAATCTGGAACTGCTCATTCTGATGTCACTCAGTTTCAGTCACTTGCAGGAGCTTTGCAATATTTGACTCTTACCCGACCTGATTTATCTTATAATGTTAACTCTATATGTCAATATATGCATGCTCCTACTACTGATCACTTCCGTGCCTTGAAACGTATTTTTACGATATGTTAAGGGCACCTATCATTATGGCTTACAACTCTCGCGAAATTCTTCTTTGACATTTTTTGGTTATTCTGATGCAGATTGGATTGGCTGCCCTGTTACCCGACGCTCTACAACAGGCTATGTTGTTTACTTAGGCCAAAGCCTCATCTTGTGGTGTTTAAAAAAGCAAACTATTGTTGCTTGTTCAAGTGCTGAAGTCCAATACCGTGCTCTAGTTTCTGTTTTGCTGAACTTTCCTAGACACTTCAGCTTCTTCGTAAGCTTCATATCACACTCCCCTCTCACCTCAGCTAAAGCAACCTCCTCCATAGATGATTATGGGGATATCGAAGATGAAAAAAAAAATCCATTCTTCGCAGAATATATGCCTGAATCCACGCGATTCGGACAGACACCTCCCCCTGCAAGACATCCTTAATGAGAAAACATTATTCCAGGTCCTCAAATCTTTCAACTCCTGTCCCCTCTCAGGCTTAGGCCGACAAATAACCGTCCATCCAATCAGAGTCCCCTTGCTGCAAAATCACCATTTTTCCGTTTCATCAACTAAAACGTTTACAAATTAAACTCTGTCTTGTGATCCTTCTGCCAATTAGCATAGGACACACGTTGTCAATTAGGAAACCCACAACTACCAAAATATGCAGCGGTAGGTCTAACAAATCTCGAGTGAATTAAGCTCTACTTAATTAACTTTGATGGCATATTTCATTGAACAAAAAAAATATTGATATTATTTTTTTCAATTTAATAGATTGTTGGTTGGTTTAGTTGAAAAACCAACC